AACATAAGTAATAGAGACCTTGAAGGGGTAAAATGGTCTTTTACCCACTACCCGATTAGAAAGGGAAAAAGTAATCGCCGGTTTAATTAGAGTTGAGACTTCGAGTCTTAATTAGATATATTTCCCTTATGTGTTAGGTAGTGGCAAGTTCGAGATTCAAGTGTAAAGATAACCGTTTTTTGCTTGCCAGGTGAGTCTTCTCACTATGCCTTACTCGATGGGGTAACTATGTGTGACCAGAAGGTCTTATGTGTATGATGAAAATGTGATGTATGTTGTATATGTAATATGTTATAATATGAGTATGATGATATGGACCGGAAGGTCAACGGAGCATGAACTAGAAGGTCAACAGAGTTATGGGATGGAAATCCCCTGAGACACTTGGATCGGAAGATCCCATAGAGCTATGGCCTGGAAAGGCGTATGTGCTGTACGTGGTATTTTAGGGAACTCACTAAGCTTCATGATTACTGTGTTATATGTTATGTGTTTCAGGTTTCTCTCAGGATCACGGGACGACACCGACTCGATTGTACACACCAGAGGAAGAATTATGTTTCTGAGGATCATGGATTATTATTTAATTGAATATGGAGTTTTGTTTTGTAATTTAATCAAAATGAGATTTTTACGAAAAGTATTTTAAGATTAAGCAATTTTAAATGAAAATTTTAGTTTTGAAAAATTTCGGTGTTACACATACATACATACATACATACATACATACATACATACTAGAAACAGTATCACAGTAAGAACCATATAAAAGTATTTAGATAAGTTGGACGTTGTGGTTAAGCTTAGATAGCTATGTAATAATATCGGGGATAAATATAGCCCGATCAACTATATTTATGCGAGATATGACTAACATATGTTTGGGAATGATCGTGGTGAACAACAAGTCTAAAACTTACCAACACTATATGCCAACAAACTCTAGAACATAACATAAAATTAAGACACTATAGGAGTATTTTATGACACTATAGAACTATACAACTAGACTTTTCATGAGTCTTTATACCATTATTCATATACAGTCAACATAGACAGACCTATAGTTAAGATGTTCTAATCTAAAACCATCTTTAAACCTTATGGAAAAAAGATGCCACCACGTAAATCTATCAGGAGTGTCAACAACACAACACCAACTCCACCACAACCACCATCTAAGCAGATGGACACTGCTATTTTCCAAGTTGCTATAACAGCTGTTGTGGCAGCCATCATTGCATAGATCAGCACGAATGGTGCTAGTGGGTCAGTAGGCGATACCAATAATGCTACACAGGGATATAGTCAGGGACACTCGAGGGAATGTTCCTACAAAGACTTCACAAATTGCAAACCAAATTCTTTCGATGGTATCGGATGTGTCATTGCTTTAACAATGTGGTTCAAGAAGACAAAGTTGGTGTTTGAAGTATGTGCATGCTCAGAAACTAGAAAAGTTAAATTCGCAGCCTGCACCTTCATGGATAGAGCCCTCTCCTGGTGGAATAGTTATGTCAAATCGCTGACTCTCCCAATGGGCAATGCCATGAGCTGGGAGGACATGAAAATTATGATGCTAGCAGAATACTGCCCGAGGGGTGAAGTACGAAAGCTAGAGAAAGAGCCCTGGAACCTTACCATGAAAGACTCCAACATTGCAGCATACACTGCTAGATTTACCGAACTAGTAGTACTATGTTTCGGGATGGTCACCCCGGAAAGTTAAAAGGTGGAGCGATACATCTCAGGATTATCCCCCCATATTCAAGGAAATGTGATATCATCCAACCCGTATGCGTTTGACAGTGCCAAACGCCTGCTACAAACACTTGTGGATCATGGAGTCCACCAGGCTTTATAACAGCTACTCCTGAGCAAACCAAAGGAAGTGAAAATAAGAAGAAGTTTTGGAACAAGAGAAAGAGCCAACCAACACAAGAACCCACAAAGAAACAGCAAACTGTGGCAATCCATGCTTCTACTGTTCCTACCACTCCAGCACCTGCCAAACAGTATGCATGAACCCTCCCAAAATGCAATAAATGCAACTTCCATCACTATGGAGCCTACCAAGAGATGCAATGCAATAACTGCAACAAAAGGGGCATATTTTTCGCTTCTTTAAGGCACCGGCACAACAAATCAATCAAAGCATTAATGTCGGAGTGAGCCAAGCTTGCTACGGATGTGGTGAAATGGGGCATTTCAAGAGAGATTGCCTAAAAGCAAGGAATACCGGAGGCGTGAGATGAGTTTTAACAATGGGTCCATGAGGAGGCTATGAATGATCCTACCATGGTGATTGTTACATTCCTCTTCAATCATTCATATGCATGCATACTTTTCGTTAGTGGTGCGGAGAAAATTTTCGTGACCCACAAGTTTAAACACTTAAACAAAATCCCCAATCACTAAAAGACACATTCACCGTAGAAATGGCAAATGGAAAAGTAGAAAGCATTAACGATATATACATAGGATGTACCCTCACTCTAAACAAATACTCTTCCCAAATCGACCTGATGCTAGTCACAATAAAAAGTTTCTACGTCATCATTGGCATGGATTCGTTAAGTCCTTAACATGTTAATATTTTGTGTTACGAAAAATTCGTACGCCTAAATCTGCCAAATAGCGAAACCCTCATCATCTATGGAGACAAACCAGGCATGAACCTTCAAATCATTTCTTGCATCACGGCTCAAAAGTATCTACGCAAGAAATACTCTACTTTCTTAGCTCACGTGGTGGATGAGAAGCAAGAAGTGACAGACATCAAAGATGTTCCTGAAGTTTGTAACTTCCCAGGCATATTTCCTGACGACCTTCCAGGAGTACCTCCAGAACGCCAAGTCGAGTTTAGAATTGACTTGATTCTTGGAGCCACCCCCATAGCCAAATCCCCATACCATTTAGCACCGTATGAAATGCAGGAATTGTCTAATCAACTGAATGAATTGCTAAGCAAAGGATTCTCAGACCAAGCTTCTCTCCTTGGGGAACACTGGTCTTGTTCATGAAGAAGAAGGATGGATCGTTCTGCATGTGCATAGACTATCATGAACTAAATAAACTCACCATCAAAAATCGATACCCTTTACCTCGAATCGACGATCTTTTTAACCAACTACAAAGAGCAAGTTACTTCTCAAAGATAAACCTAAGATCAGGATATCATCAGCTGCAATTCCATGAGGAAGATATTCCCAAGACCGTATTTAGAAATCGCTATGGTCACTATGAATTCATAGTAATGCCCTTCGGATTAGCAAATGCACTCGCGGTATTCATGGCCCTGATGAACCGTGTATGCCGACCTTAGACAAATTCATAATAGTTTTCATTGATGACGTATAAGGAAGAACACATTCAACACCTACGACAAGTCTTGGAAACATTAAGGGCAGAGAAGTTGTATGCGAAATTCTTGAAATGCGAATTCTGGATTCGAAAGGTGGGTTTCCTAGATCACGTGGTCAGCGAGAAAGGGATACACGTAGATCCCTCCAAAATCAAGGCACTCGAAAATTAGGCGACCCCAAGAACACCAATAGAAATTCGTCAATTTCTAGGCCTTGTTGGATACTACAGGAGATTCATACAAAACTTTTCAAAGATCGCGAAGCCACTCACTACCTTGACTCTGAAGGATGCAACCTTCAACTGGGAGGAGAAACAAGAAGCTGCTTTCCAGACGCTAAAGCAAGCCCTATGCAGCGCCCTGATCTTGTCCCTCCCAAAGGGACGGAAGATTTTGTAGTTTACTGTGATACGTCCAAGCAAGGGCTAGGTTGTGTTCTTATGCAATGAGGAAATGTCATTTCCTATGCCTCAATGTCATTTTCTATGCCTCAAGACAACTTATGAATCATGAAGTCAATTATACCACACACGAACTCGAACTGGTAGCAGTGGTATTCACTCTGAAGATCTGGAGACACTACCTTTATGGTACGAAGTGCAAAATCTTCACGGATCATAAGAGTCTCCAACACATTTTCGATCAAAAGGAACTCAACATGAGGCAACGACGATTGGTAGAACTACTAAACGATGATGAATGCGAAATTCGCTATCATCTAGGAAAGGCCAATGTAGTAGCAGATTCCCTTAGTCGAAAAGATTACTTGAGCCGCCGACTTACCAGGATTTGGGCGCTATGATACTTATATGTGGCATACATGATGATGTGACAGTTACAAAATACATACAACGAATTATGCAGTGGAAACAAATTTTTGCATTGAAGAAACCGCATCATCAACTTCACCTAAAGCAATTTGTTTCCATTATAAGTTATATTTCAAATTACAATAGCTCAAATCCAAACAGTAATAAATAATGATCGTAACCCTTAAAACGTGTAATAATGAATCAAAAAATATAATTGATTTTATAAGGATAAAATGTAAAAACAAATAAAGAGGACAATCGAGCTAAACGAGGAAGAAATCATATAAGATCAAGAATTTCTTGTTAAGACCATACTTAGAAATGATGATTGATCTCAATTATAACGATGGAGTAAGAACCAAAATGACGAAAATGCCCTCACGTGAAGAGCACAACTCACTCATCAACATGACAGATCTAATGTCATACGGACCATGATTGCAAGGGTTTTCATACATTGGGAATCTATGCAACAAAATCTTCATAAGGACAAAACTATCACTTTTTCTAGACATATGGACCCTTTATATAATTTTGTCTAATTAATTAATTTCCGGGTTTTCATACATTTGTTTTCATACATTGGGAATCTATGCAACAAAATCTTCATAAGGACAAAACTATCACTTTTTCTAAACATATGGACCATTTATATAATTTTGTCTAATTAATTAATATCCGTTTAAACCTTTAAAAAGTGATCTATTTTTTCAATAATAAATCAAAGGTTTAGCCCACATGGTCACATATTGCGAAAATTATTCAAACCACTCCCAGATTCACTTTGCATTCTACCTTCCATGTAAAATCAACCTCACAAAAAAATGGGTTGCTGTTTAACCACCACTGCCGCCACCGCCGCCGCCGCTGCCGCACACGACTCCAAAACCAGCTCAAAACGCCGTGATGCTCCTCCATCGTTGCCATTTGAAGAAGAAACAGTGAAAGAAGTCCTCTCCGAAATTCCAGTCGCCTCCAAAAAACCATCGCCGTTGATCAGTTCCTCCCCAACAAAAATCACCGCCGACTACCAACAGATTCCTCATCCCGAACAAGATTTTAAGTCTAAAAACGCTGTCGTTCAGTTGACCAAGAACCCAATTGAAGAAAATGCTTCTGAGATCTCGTCGGAGATGTATACTTACAGTGCGAGCTTTTCCGCTGCAACGACGACGACGACGATCGGAACCGGAACAATAGATGAAGATGGAGAAGTTACCCAGAAAGTAAAAAAGCTTCCGCCTGCCAAGATGGTGTCGAGAAGACAGCCGACGAACTATTCCGGCGAACGCGCCACTAGGAAAGAAAGAGGTATTAGGCCTCCGGCTAGAAGATCAGCTGTTCCATCCACGGATAAAAAACCCCACTTTCCGTCCAGAAATGTAACCACTGCACAACGCCAAGGAAACCTGGTACCATCGAGTGCCATCCGACGTGAACCTCCAGCTCGGAGATCGAGATCGCCGGCGTTGCGGGGGGAAGCAGGAAAACTTACGAAAGTTACGGAGAGAAGTCCTGTTCAGAAGTCTGGCAACCGGGTACCGGTGAACATGGCGGAGAATAATGGAAATGTTAAGTTAAAGAAGATTAAAGGCGGTGGCGATGGCGTGCCGGAGCCGGAGGAGCCGGGGACATGTGAATCGCTGGAGAATCCCCGTGTTTCGTTGGAGTGCTTCATATTCCTGTAACTCGAGATGAAATATCTTCCTGAAACGACACCGTTTCATATGATGATGACGTCGTTTTCGTTCCGTTTGACTTGGAGAATTTTTTGTAGAGAAAAAAAAAATGATGTGACGTGAAAATGTATTTATTTTTAGGAATTTAGTTTTTTATTTTCTAAATTCTGTAATGTGTAAGTAGCAATGTTAAAATTCTGATCTTATTTATTGAAATATTCTGTCAAAAACCGACTCTTAATTACAAACATTCGTGTTCAGGGCACGACTTGTCTTCCTTAGAAACCCTTTGATAGTTTGATTCAGCAAATGTCTCTTGATTGCTTAACTTTTGTCAAAAAATAAATAAATAAATAACAATTTCAATGATTTTTTATAATTTAAACTAAATTTAATAAGTAAATGAATTGTTTGACACGCCTCTTATTAAGTCCGTAAAAACTACCGTTTTTAGTCTTGGTTAGTATTCCTAAATTGCTAATTATTTAATTATGATTGATTAAAATCAATAATATTTTTTTAATAAATATCTATACACTACATTCTAACAACATTAACAAGTAGCTCATTTGTCTGAAACGAAATTACAATACTTTTCTATTTACTTGATAAAAGATAAATACAATCTTCATCTTTCGTAAAATTAATTATCCCTAATTTCTATATATTTACAAAACCCAAGCTTTACAAGATACCTATACAACACGCGTATCTAACATAAAATCACTTTTAGCTGATACGTATCTCTCCAGTCTGTGCATCTTTAATCCGCATGACACTAGGGGTACATTAGTCATTTCACAAGGGTTGTCCTGAGCAAAACAAATAGAAAAAGACTAGACGTGTCAGGAGAAAAAGGAGTGAGCAACAATCAAATTTTGACATGATAGAAAAAAAGAAGGGTAAGCCAATCTGCTCAGATAATGTTTTTGACTGTAAGGTTTGGAACAATGTCAAGCGTAAATTAGTCATTTTGCATGAAAAAACTTGAAAACTGTAAAACCCATTTGTTACATAAGACAAGAAACTGTAAAACAAGTTATCTTGTGTTTGGTATGTGGTAGATTGGACCAGGACCATAAGAGATGTTAATAAGACAAAAATAACAACTTTGTAAAAGACATAAATGCCCTCCTCCGACCTTTCAACTACTACTAAGGGGCAAATCAGTCATTCTGCAACATCAAATATAAGGAAATAGAATGTTATAACTATAACAAACAAATATATGAAAGTACGTTGCTATTTTTGCATTTTGCCCTAAATCCTATTTGAAAAACTTTGGGGCACACTTAGAAAAATGAAAAAAAATGTGTGCAAATTTGCAAAAAGTTGGTACTTAATGGAAAACCCCATCCCCTTGACTTTCTCGATTAAGTCGTTCTTTCTGTGTTAAGTAAAAAAGAAACACTCAAATATAGCTTAGCAAATTAATGGCTTTTCTTTATTCCCGTGTATGGATAAAGTACTCGACGGATAAATATATATTTGTCAAGAGTGACTGTTACATAAACAAAGGCTATTTCTTTTTCTCGATTTAATGAGTAAAAGTAAATGACCGTTTTACCCTTCTTTGAGTAAAAAAAGAAACAACACCTCACTTGTCAACAAGCACCTTAAACTTCACACGCCTCTTAATCGTACCCATCCTCTCATACCCAATCCCAATCTTACTACGCATCAACTTCATCGCCATGTCAGCATTCCCAACTTTTCTCAACGCATTAATCAAAACCGTACGAACTCTCCCGGGTATCTCTCTCCCTCTATCCACAATCCCATCCGCCAATTTACACGCTTGGTCAACTCTACCTGCTTTGACCAAAACATTAATCATATCTTCACAACTCGTTTCCACAACTACCCCCATTGGTGCCAACTCATCCAAAATCCTACACGCCCGGCCCACTTTACCCGATAAACAAAGCCCAGTCAAAAGAACCCGAACCGAACCCGAACTCGGTGTTATTCCATTATCAATCATCAAATCCCAAATCTTTAAAGCTTCCTCATTTCTATGTTTTTTAAATAATCCATCCATTACAATTGTGTACGTGTACACCGTTCGATCACAACCGTCGATTTCCATCTTTTCAAAAACCGACAATCCCTCATCGATCTTCCCGTTCTTCATATACGCATCAAGAATCGCATTATAGCAATACGAATCGCAAGTAATTTTATTGGCAACCATTCCTTCGAATAACTTTTCGGCTTCTAATAATCTCCCGGATTTTCCGAATCCATCGATTAAACTCGAATAAAACATCGAATTAATCGCGATTTTATTTTCACGACATAAATTAAAATATTGTAACGCCTCGGATAATCGTCCGGTTTTACATAAAACGTTCACGATTACACCGTAAGTGACCTCGTCAGGGGTAAAACCGTCATTATTTAGCCTCTCGAAAATTCGTATCACCTCGTTTACGTGTCCGGCTTTTGCATATCCATCCATTAAAGCGGTGTAAATTGCGAGATTACCTTTACGCCCTTTTCGGATCATGTTTTCAAAAACCATATACCCTTCCATTGGTTTCCCGGCTTTACAAAGACCTCCAATTACTAAACTATAAGCGTGTGGTGGGATTTCTAGTTCTTTTTCTTCCATTTCATTGTAAAGTTTCAAACAAGAATCATAATCGTTGTCTGAATAATAAGCTTGGATTAAAGTTAAATAAGTGATCTTATCGTGTTCTATGTTCTTTTCCTCCATTTTCGTAAATTTCTCCATGGCTTTCTTTGTGTTTCCGGATTTACAATACCCTTTGATCATTGTGTTATATGTTACAGTATCGGGTTTAATGGCCCCGGTTTCCATAACTTCAAAAACTTGTTCGGCTGATTCGATGAACATTGAATTAACCAAACCGTTTATCAAGAAATTGAAAGTAAACAAACTGGGTTCGATGCCGTTTTCTTTCATTTGTTTCCATACCCATAATAATTCTTCAACCATTCCGAGATTCCCAAATGATTTGATTAATAAATTTGCAGACTTTATGTTCATCAAGAAACCCTTTTGTTTAAGCTCAATGAACACAGATTTAACCCTATGTAAATCTTTAGAAACAGATAGAACATCAATCAAGAAAGCATAAGATTCAAGATTATGAGAGTAAGTGTATCCACCACCCTTTTGCTTACCTGCCCATTTGAAGAACCGATGGCACAATTCGGGCTGGTTTTTGACCCGACTAGAACTAAGAACGTAGGAAACGAAATTGGGTGATAATCTGATGAACCATTTGCGACAAAAATCATCCAATTTGGGTTCCATTTGGGATGAATCGTCGTTTAAAAGATTGAGGATCTGGTCAACCCATGCTGAAGGTTTGGGGTGTGGTGTGATGAGATCGGAGGTGTCGTTGATGGGTTGAACCCATTCCGGTGGTGGGGGTGCGGTTGTGGTGAAAACCCATCTGGAGTTTGAGATGGGAGGTGGATTCGGGTCGGGTTTTGATGAATTGTGATGTGGGTGATTAATCTTTCTTCCGCCATTGATGGACGAAGAGTGAGGTCTGTTGGTTGCGATGGGATAGAGGGATTTCAGTAGGGTTTTTCTCATTGCGTTAAAATTGAATTTGTAGCTTGAAATCGATTTTGCTCTGAATTGAAGTTTCGAAACCTGTAATCAGGGTTTTACGAGGTTTTCGAAATATAATTTTCACATTAAATATATATTGTGGATCCTTGAGAACATCAATTGGTCCTATGGTCTAGTGGTTAGGACATTGGACTCTGAATCCAGTAACCCGAGTTCAAATCTCGGTAGGACCTTATTTTTGTAATTTTTGAGCCACGTACAATCCTTTCTAGTTCAACCACCTATTTTTCTACATGTAAGCAAAATGAAAGCTATATGACAACTCAAGAACGGGATAAATTTTAGAGATTTTCACAAACATACCAATCATAAATGCTCTTGTATCACACTATTTTATCGTTTTTTGTTTAATTTTAAAACTGTCATGTATTTTGGAGTTCACAATTGACCAATTGTTTATAACCTAACACTATCATTAATAAATCTAATTAACTTTCCCACCTAAGTAATATATATATATATATATATATATATATATATATATATATATATATATATATATATATATATATATATATATATATATATATATATATATATATATATATATATATATATATATATATATATATATATACATGTTAACCTCTTTATGAATCCTCATATACCATCTTATCTAACTACTATATAAACATACTAAAATCATAACATTATTTTACACCAAAGCTCACACTAATTCATTCACCAGTCTATTTTTTTGTTATAAAAAATATCTATAACAATAAGGTTGCTTATCATTACGAAGATGAAGAAAGTCAATGGTCATTCTTAAAATATTTATTATGTTATCCCAAGTCTCCCAGGTTAACAGGATTTCTACCATGATAAACCATTTTCATATAAGATGTCTGATTATATTTTTGAAGCTATGTAGGACGTTGAAGATGACCAAACGATGAACTCGGTAATGTGTCAGATAATTATTGCACATAGAGCTCTTGTAGCAAAAATCCAAAAAAATGAATAAAAGAGTTGTCGAGATTAAGAAGAAATAAAAGTTGTAGAAAATATGAATTTATAATAGGATTTTTTTTTGAACGGCAGCAAACAAATATGTTAAAACAAAACTAGCAAGATGCTAGGAGTACAGATCATTAAGACTGAGTAGGATTTTGAAGCCACAAACTCCAATTATCCTAGCCTTAGAGTTACGAGACGAGAACCAACGAAACGAAATATCAACAATGGAATCAAAAATCCTATCTTTTCTAGGCTTATTACTACTAAACAAAATATCATTAAGGAATGTCCAAAGCACCTAAATGACCATAGAAAATGATATTAAGGAATGTCCAAAGCACCTAAATGACCAAAGAAAATACCGAGTCAACAATCACCCATTGTTGTCTAACATTAGGCCTCACATCAATCCAGTCCATCATGTCTCTCATAGTGAGAA